GTGGGTCGCTCCTGGAATGGAAAGAACGACTGGACCATCCGCCGGACGCCTTCCAGAGAGTAGAGTACAGGTAATTGTTATAATTCGTTTTATCCGTTTGGTTAATATTGTAACGGGAGAGTACGGCTGCTTAAAGCCGGACGCCCAAAAGCAACAGCTCGAACACTGCATTGATAAATAAACCTTTTGTGTGTTTTTTCCCAGATACCAAAGAATATCCTTGCATTCCATAAAATCCTACTACAGTTTTATATTTTTTCCTATAAGGTAAGTAACTCTCAATATTGCAATTTACAGATCAATTAAAAATCATAGTATAATATTCGTAAGAAGTATTAATAAGTGTAATGTATCATATAATAAAATGAAAACTTGATAACGAAAGAAAATTATTTTAGTGTATCGAAATTGCTGATCTAAACGTATACACACTTCAAAACTATACTGATTTCCAAGTTAGACTTAAGAACGTCTAAATAGCACTAATTTCCACAAAATAATGCTTGATAGCTTTCCTTCCAGGCTGCATAATAAACCAGCAGTCGATAAGGTAAACGATAAAAACTGAAAAGCTCTAAGAAGAGTAATAAACGATCGAGATGCGTTATTTCCCTAACACGTTCCGTACAGATTTCAAGTTGGCTCCGCGCAATTCTGTTCAATTTTCTCATTAAATCAAGCGAGACATATTACCTAAGTAATAGATTCTCGTAACGCGAGATCATTTGGATACGGGCCGAATAAATACGTGCTGAATCGACCCTAACAACTATAGTACCGCGGTGTAAAAAAAAAAGATACTATCGTTCTGTTAAAACACAGTGGCTGTAAAACGGAAATAACGTGCAGAAAAGACTTATCTGAGGAAGCAGTCTTAGCGATTCACCTGATAGAAAGTGCCCATTACGGTTTAAATTTATTATTCGGCTGCACAGAGCACATAAATCTATCGCTGTAATTGTGCGAAGATAAATTTGTGTTAAGCAATTTTGCTGCATTTGTTATTAATTAACATTTTGGGATCCAAAATTTCCAGAAAGAAGTTAGCAATTTTAGGAATTTTCTATCATTCGAATCAATCGAAACAAGGTAAATTACTATTGATCTCCGCAATACCAGTTTTGAATCTATAAAGAATTAGTAGCAGATTTAATATCGATGAAAATTGACAGGTGATTCCAAACTTTTGCTAGTGTACACAGATAAAAATGTCCATTTTAATTTAATCAATCGCAACAAACGAACTGTCCAATCCTAGAAATTTTTTTCGGAGAATTGCAAAATTGTATTTAAACTCCCAAATAACAAAATCAATCTTTTGCGTTAATCAGTCGTAATAAACGAATTTTTCATATCCTACAAATGTTTTTTTCATTGTAACATGACGATATTGAAAACTTCGAAACAAAAAGTCAATCTTACGATATTTGATAACAAGGCGAGAAAATTCGAAGTTCGTAAACGAGCAATTTTTCACCAACGATAAACCAGCACCTACGGCGAAACCTTCCAGTCTAAAGCTCAAATTAGTTAAGCCTCGACGTAATTGCATGTCCAACGCCCTCGTACATTAGCCACGGAAGATTAATTTAATATATGGCAACATAAATGATTATAGCCTGTTCGTAACATCCACTTTAACCTCGTAACCCACCAAAAATCTGTTATTCAGACAAGCAGCGATTTTCCGAAATGAAATGTTCGAACGAGCGAGGAACTCCTCATAGTAATGCAAGAAATTACGAATAACGCCGTTTCTTTTAAGTCCTTCAAGAAACGTCCGCGCGTTGAAATCACTCTTTGATTATGCATGTTTCTTCTAAGAGAATCGAAATATGTAATGTTGCCGGTTGAGCGAAAGAAGAGAAACGTGAACTTACCTTGAAAGTATCCTGCAGGTTTTGTACTCTGCAGTGCATATATACTTGAGCACCGAGTTGCACAGTAATGTTGGTCTCTGGATCTTCGAAAAAGGGCCTGGGCTCAGGAGTGCCGCCAGTTTCTGTCGCGAAACTTTCCACCTCGTATACCTGTAAGTCGAAAAGGGAACGCGTTCAAGTAGCTGAAATTTCGAAACTTACTTTCGTACGAATAAAATGACTGCTCTAGAAATCTGCGATTTTTAAAATTAAACTATTGTCAATTCTTGCGAGGAAACATCCCTAAGTGTGATAATCACCTTTTTTCATGAAACTTTGGTATATATTAGTTCTCAAAAAAATATTCCACACAAATTTTTTTATGTTCGCAATCGTTCACAGTGAAGGGATGAAAATCGCTCTCAAAGCTGGAGGTAGAAGATATATTTAGTCTAGTATCTCGAAAACTATTAGAGATAGAGGAATAGTGTAAATTGACGAATTTTGTACTTTTCAATAGGAAATTTGAAAAATAGAAAATAATAAATAATTTTGACCATATGTGTCTATTACCCTCATCTTTCGGTGCGATTTTCACGCATTTAATATAGACGATTTCTGATAAATAAGAATAAGTGTCGAATATTTTTTTTAGCAGTGCCATATTCTAAAGTTTCATCAACGAAGAAAATATAATACAAACTGAGTTCCCCCGACATCACTTTTAGGCCAAATTTAATTAACCCAAAATTACAAATTCAGAGTTTGTATGTTCCTTTTCTTTTTTTAATCGCGTGATACGGAGACAGTAGCAATTTTTTGATCGCGTTATACGAGGTCCTACTGTGATTCTACAGTCTCTATTCACATTATCAAACTCGCGGAAGAATCTATTCGAATGTTTCGTTATTTAAAAGTTGCCAAAGGTAAATATTTGGGAAGACTTTAGCGGTTCGAGGACTTCGTTTTCACGCTGTTACCACTTTGTGCGACAAGCAGGACAGGCGTAAAAAGTATGCTCCCGGTGCCTTTTTGAAAAGACATTTTAACTGCTCATTCCAATTATGCAGCCGACTTACCTCGGTAAAAGGCGAACTGAGCTCATGCCAGAACGACCTCGGCAGGTTTTCCAGTCCAGGAAACGGCTTAGCACCTGAAACAATTTAGAACCAGATTATATTTTCCGCAGTCTAAGCTTTATTACAGAGATAGAACGATATAATTAAAGTCCCCCTCAAATTCACTGTCCCCTTCTTTGCTTATCCACAGGTCTTGTTACGATAAATGAATTAATACTCGACATTAATCCAATACGAACTGTGTAAGTTTGATTAATCGATCTGCGTTCTTATTTGATTAAACAAGGATAAGATTGCATTTCGTTCTGATTAGGTTAAGTTCCCAGATAGCACGTAGACGCGTCTTGTGAGCGTCTTAACCCTTTCGTCTCACTTGAGTACGTAACCCTTTAATTTATGATTTTTTTTCTCTGACTATGCATCTAAGCGTCAGCCATTTACTGTTTTAGTACTGTATCAGGTAACAGAAGCTAATCTTTTACAGATTAATTACATTTAGTAATCCTAGGTGTTAGAAAATCTCAGTGTAGGAAACGGAATGCAAAATGCAATTAGAAATTGGTAAAATATAATTAGGATAAACGAAACTAATAACGCTATATAATTAGGATAAACAAAGTGGTAACGCTTTATCGCTTCGCAGGAAAAGTGAACGATCCTCGCTCTTGTTTTCCCTATTTATAAGGTCTTCGCGACCCGCGCTCGCTCTCTCTCACTCTCGCGCACTCTCTTAGCAACTCGCATTTCTCGTATTCGCACAGACACACTCGCTCTTGGTTAATAACAAACCCCCGTTTCGCCTATTCGTATCGCAGAGTTTTTAACACTAGGTTTACGGACATTTCTTATTACCTATCTCTACGGACACGCGTCAAATTGACGCGTGAACAAAACCGCAGATTTTATTTAAAAACAACATAGTGTACACTATTAACTTATAACTGAAACTGTGATATTATTTATTTATATAGAATTTATGACAAGCCTAAATGGTAGCAGAGAAATATAAACGGTTTCTGTCATTTTCCTTGTGAAATTCGAAATGCGTCAAAATCACGCGTCCCGTAAACCTAGTGTTAACAAAACAAGCTCGACCATATGATCGGCCCGCTCCGGTCATTGACCTCCTACACTACTGTGCATCAATTTTAACGCGTCGAATGCCGGACCAATTCTACGTAACTTGTCCACGGTGCCGAAAAGAATTTTTTATTCCAATATAACACATTGCAATATGCATAAATAATATGTCAATAATTAGAAATAAAACTATTTAAATATGCTGTGTGATGCATTAGGTGAAAATTTTACAAACACTACCATTTATTCAAATTAAATGCTTTTACTAATTTTGAGACCGCCGGTCACCGATTACCCCCACGGCATTCAACGTGTTAATCCACGCAGTAAAATCCTACACGAAATTCTTCATATCGCAGTATTGCTCAACGCTACTGCAGCGATGTAAACAAGTGAATTCAAAGCACGACGAAGAAAGAAGTCGCGAGAACGAGGTAGGCTGATGCAGCGGTGATAAAAGTTTCCAGTGTCGCCGTTTTCAATCACCGCGGTAAACTGAAATCAATGCCAAGAAACTGTACAGCAGCGTTGTGTGATTCCGTTGAACGAAGAAAAATAAAACGTTTGATCTGACCGGTCGGGGAGGGAAAAGGTCGGGCAAACAGCAGCGACCACGTCATTAGTGTAATAGACGCAGAAAATCGAATTACTATGGAAACAATCGCGAAGTTGGAGAACGAGTGCGCTGCAGTGGAAAAGTTTTTCACTTTCCAGCGAGTAGAAGGAAACTCGTTCGGCCGTCGACGGATAGAATGGCCTTATCAGCAGCGAGCACACACGACCATACACGCGAGTTTCCAAGACGATACACATAAATGTATTCCCCTCGCAAGGTTACACACCGCGGCAGGATACAACGTAGCGGGAGTGAAACTTTTGCGATCCGCTGAAATAAAGGCTTCGTCGTTCGAAAAAGCCGGAACAGAGGGTTGACAATCGGGTGTTCGCGTTCTACGTGATTAGCGAATCGTCAAATTACCGGGGAATCTTGGATGGAAAGGATGTAGAAATTTTGGGCAATTGTGTTCGAATAGCGTTCGAGATTTTTACCTGGAACAAGGAGATGGATATATTTGAAAACTGATCGCCTGCGGTACTCCATAGAAATCCAAGGAAATCTTGCAAAATGAAATTGTCACACGAGAGACTGAGTATTTTGAGTTACGGTTCTTTTCTGAAATAAATTGCATTTTCTAAAGTGGCGTTGACACATACAGCCTTGACCAAAAGTATCAGACACTCCATGAAATATAAATTGTTTAAAAATATTTTTGTATTAGGAGGAAATGGAACTATTGAAATGGGAAAAGAATCATTTGTTTATTAATTTTGTCAATATTTTGTTTGAACTGCATAACACGAATATTTGACAGTCACTTTTCGAGTTTCACCCTGTTTTTTTTTTTATAGAATTATCTTGCGTTGATGATCAATCAATTCACTCTTTTTTCCCATATTTCAAGGAAAATTTTCTAACTTTCGAAATAATAGCAAAACTAAAAAACAAAACGTACAGTATGGATCGTTCAGTTGTTTCATGGCCCACTATAAATCTTGTCAACTGTTTTAAAATTCCTTTGAACTCACCGACAGAAGATGATGAACAATAGAAAGATTTAAAAAAAATAATTTTCGCAGCAAGTGATAGTAATTAAGGTGCCTAATACTTTTAACCAAAACTATACTTCTATAGTTTCCGGTACTACGCTTTATTTTCACGTTTTTCTATGACAAACGATAACATTGCACACTTACAGTTTCAGCAACTTGACAATGCAATAATTTCAAGTATAACATGAAAGTGTCATTAGGTTAATTTGTCGTCTTGGGTTGTTTCGAACAGTCTTCCTATGTTAATTCGAGCACAAAAGTGTTCAACCGAAAGATAAAAGTGTTCCGACAGAAGTTTCCACGCGATGCACGAAACTCGGTAGGAAATGTCTTGCAGTGATGAGACTAAATGATAATGCATTGCTAACTGCAGCAGACATGGTACTTAATGCTGACAACTCTAGAGACATGAAGTTCAATGTTGACAACTACACAGGAGCGTAGAATCCGGAACTAGCAACCCCAAGGGTCTCAATAACAAACACAGTTAAACCGCAAGATCATGGAACTTGATATCGACTGTTCCGAGGTCATGGAATATACCACTAACATCAAGAATACAGCATTCATAGGAGAAACGACACCGAAGTCATGGAACAGGATTAACGATCTTGATATCGTGTCAGGTGCAATACGAGTTCTGACGTCATCGAGGTCACAGAGTGCAAATATATTATAACATAAATCATACAGATAACATTGGAGAAAATTTCGCAAATTTGTAAGAAGATTTCAGGACCTTGGAGGCTGACAATTCGAACATTTCGGAGAAATCTTAAAGATTATGCAAATTCTGTAAGTCTCGAAGATTCTTGGAATCTTGATAGGTCGAAGAATCACCGCTCGAGATCTCAAAAATCTCATTAATCTTGGATGTCTCCGACGTTATCGAAATCTAAGTTTCTCGATCGAAATTCTTGATGTACAATTTTATAACCAGTTATCACGAAATAACGTCTCACCCGTGTCACGATTAGACTGCGGATTTTTATGCATTTATGAAAAATTTGAAGGCACAAAGATACACAGAGTGCACGTAATAAGTAAAACTATTTAAAAAAAACATTGCCTATCTAGATTCTATTTTTTTAATTATACTCGTAAACATATGAATTTGCATAAAAATCCGCAGTCTTGTTGTGATTGTCCTAGCTTCTACTTATTAGTGTTTTGAGAAATTGGTGTAGTGGACTGAACCTTAGATCCATGATTAGACGGTGACGATGAAAGTTGTTAAGAAATTTAGAGACTTGGAGAATTTAAGAACTTGAGAATCGTTCGCTGTGTTTATTCATCGTCGACTCGCGAATGACTACTGACTGAGGACAGTGCGAACATAAATTTACGAACAGAAGAGAGCGGGAAGGGATGGTCTACTGTTTACACGATCTCTCGGTCGACCAGTGTCGAGCAAAAGTTATTTCGAATAACAAAAGAATAATTTAGTAGTTATTCGTGAATAACGAGTAAATCGAATTTACTCAAATTCGTTAACAAATAAATTGAATAAATTGGATTATACATATATACATATATACGAAGTTTTCGAATAAAAGAGACCTTTTTCAATAAATTTCGTTTAAATTTTGCTCGAGTATCGCTCTTTTCTCAAACGCCTCGTCAGAAATCTTGCGGGAAAAAGTTAGATTGACCATAGTAGCGTAGGAGAAAAATCTCTCAACAGGAGCTGAAGCAAGTATCGGCATGTTGAACTTTGTAAACGAATAACGAATAAAATTTATTGGTATATTGGACTTCATGAATAAAGGAATGAGGAACTGAAATGGAATATCAACCGAATAAAATTTGATTCATTATTCGTTATTCGATACGCCGAGATTGCTACATTTCGAATTTTGTAAACAATTAATTCCTATTTTCGTGATTCCACACATTTCAATTTTTGTTTCGTTAGATTTTTCTTTTAATGTATGAAAACGAAGTTAATTTTTTAAAGTTTACCTGCTGTATGTAACTTTAAATTCAAATTATTAAGAATTGTATCTACAGACTGATACAAAAATAAACAAATGTTTATCCAAATAATTTTGCGTATTTATTCATTCGACAATAATTCCAAATAAATATTAAAAATGAATTACACGAAACTGCACGGTACGAACACCATATTCCGATCGTTTAAAAATCGGCGTGAGAGACCGACGTGAGTCACTATGCGCTGAAAAATTTCGCGAGTACTGGAAGGTTAAATATGCTGTATAATGTATTATACGTCGTTCAAAATAAGAGTAACCTCGCTCTCGGACCGATTCTCGTTCGTTCTGCGCATAGACGGAGAGCGTAGCAGAGGGTAAGACGGAGACAAACGTAGGTGATTAAGTGGGGGGGTTTGGACGTTCTAGTGGTTCTAGCCCTGCCTTAGGCACGTCCCATGCGCGAAGCGAGGTTACTCTCATTTTGAACGAGTATAGATGAAAATTTCACAAATACATTATCAAATGCTGTCGCTAATCTTCGCATCGCCAATCACCGGCATTTCACTCCTTTGTTTCAATCAACCGTATATCTAAACCCTGTTTGCCCACAATATACCTTTCACCTTACTCGATCATCACGACAAACATTCGATTAATTGCTCGAATAACAACAACTCCCCCCCGTTCAATCGTTCTATCGTGCGCATCGAATGCTCGTGGACGGGGCTATGAACAGGAGCGAAACGCGTTAATTCAATCGCCTTCGGCGACGATTCTTGCGTCGGTTCACGCGTGTATATATTCCCGTACATATATCGATGCAATTCTTGCATAATTCCCGCGGTGATTGCGGATCGGACATTCGCCACGTACGAAATTGAAATACGCGCGCGTGCTCTTCCATTTGTATTCAACCCCGGGAGAAACTCGCCCGCTTGTTAATTTACCGCCGCGCTTTAATGCATCCATCTGAACGCGATGATTCAGATATTCCGAGGTAGATGAAATAAAAAAAAAAAAAAAGGAAAAAAGGGGAGGAAAAAATGCAACGAACAGGCGAAAAAAAGAGAGAGAGAGAGAAAAGATGGAAGGGATGTTAGAGGCCATAGATACACGGCGTATTCATCGATTGTTCGTATAAAAAAATCGCGGAAATACCGAAACGTTTATTACCACGTTTCGACGAGAGAACGATCCTAGATACGCGATCTGGTGCTTGTAATTTATCGGTTTCCGCTCGAATATCCGTGAAAGTTTATCGGTAAATGCTGCTTCTATTACACGAGTAAATTATTGGAAAGCGTGATTCTTACGACCGTTGACAATAGGATATTTACTTGACTTCTGGAATGATTGTTGGATACTTGAGGTTCGTAATGTTGCTCGCAGGAATGAGAAACATGCTGGCAATATGCATTTTATGAAAGCATTGTCGAAGAGATGGATAATTTATAAATGGTGGAAGAAAGAAAATATTTTGTAATATCGTTCAAAAATTTAAAAAGCGTTTCTTATGGAATAACCTAAATATAATGTTAATTGTAAGAATTCGCAGCATTCGAAGTAGGACATTTCGTTAACCTTCCTCCTCGGTGTACTTCATAATCGAAAGAACGTATAGTAAATTTATTTTTCCAAATTAAGTTATTGAAATTTCTGAATGGTATCGAAAAAATATCGAATGATTCGGTATAAAAAAAATATTCCTGGAGACTTATTGAAACGCCTTAACCCTTATCTGGATACTCTATTCATGTTTAGGATCAATTTTTTAAAATACTCAGAAGTTCTTGAAAACTTATTTAGTGGGTTATATTCATACTCCTACTGTTTACGTATGTAATAAAATTATTTAAATATGTTCTCTTTGCTTCCAAAAAAATCTGTGACACTGTATCTACGGAACTTTAATTCAATTGATTCATAGAAAGAATTTTGGATTTCTTAAGTACTGTTGAAAATATTAAAAAAAAAACTAGGAATGTGAGTTCATTGGACTCATCTCGACCAGATAAGGGTTAACACCAAAATTTATCAGTAAAATATACATTCCATATTTATCCCTTAAGCACGTCTTCTCACAGAATACGAAGTGCACAAACGTATGGCAATTTATAGATGATCATTATTAATATATGGTAACTACTTCAGGAAAGCAGTACCGTAAAATGTGAAATCTCAATGTCTAAACATGGCACACCGGTAACTTCCATAACGTAAAAGTAATTTGAAGTTGTAAAACCTCCCACGGGTGTACTGAGATTGGGGCTACCCTGTAGCTTCTGAAACTCCATACAAAACACTTTATACCGTGTAAACTTCACGCGAAAATCGTTAGCTGTTACGGAAGAGAGAAGAAAAAAAACGTCGGCTCTAAAAATCGAAAAACTTCGAACAACATTGAAAGAAAGAAAAAACTTCCAACTCTATAACACCTGTAACATTCATCTGCGAGCAAGGTAACAACGCTATTTAGACGGCCTCCTCTTCGCAAGCACCTCTCTAGGTCGCGAGACGCGCGACCGTGATGCCGGAAGAAGTAATAAAGTCGGTTCCGCGTCGTGCCTGTGATCCTTTGAGTCGAAACTGGAGAAACTGAGCAATCTCGTGCCGGTTATAAAGGCCGCGCGTAGAGGCGGCTGAAAGAGACACAGTCAGCCGAGGGAAATAAAGTAAGGAAAGTAGAATTCGAAAGACCGCAAGGGAAGCGCAATATCCTTCCATCAAATTCGGCGGCTCAAACGGTGTCGAGTCGTTCTTCCGGAAGGACTTAGAACACGAACACCGGAGTATCTTTCTCATTTTCTCCATTCGTGGAAGATTCTGACCGACTTAGCAGGCCGAAAATTATTTCCCCCGACCGAACTTACCCAAGCTACACAAGTAAACTGCCCCACTCTCTTTTTCTCTCTCAATTTTCGGGCTTCAGTGTACCCAGGTCTCGGAGCAACTTCTCATTCGGACCTCCACCAAACGCGTTGCTTTTCCCGTGGTCGATTCCTTTTGCTCCGTTTCTAACTATTTCTCGAAGAAACGACGGGATAATCCGAGAGAAATTTATCAGCTCGACACTAGAGAGGAGAGGAAAGGTCCTTTTCTGGCAGGACCAATCTCGCGAGCTGAATTCACCGGCTATACACAGCCACTCCGGGAAAAAGAACGAAGGGACTTCTAATATCTGCTAGAAAGACGGAGCACATAATCTCCCCGGAAGGATAAACCCGGTTACCGGTCAGGATTTCGAAATACGTCCCGGGAATGTTGCCCACGGGATTACTCGACGGATCCGCATCGAGCTCCACCAGGCACAAAGGAAATTGTTTGCGAACGCGGACCTCGCGACCGGCCGCTTTAAATTGCTTCGATGATGCGCTTTATTGTTCACTTTTTCTTTTCTTTTCTCTCTCTCTCTCTACTTCGTACTCTGTGGAAGAGAATTTAACATTTGTGGACGATAACAGGTATTTTGAGGTTATGTCGTTTGGGTAAACGAGAGAATGAACAGCTAAAATATTAAAGAAATAAACGAATCTCAATTAAAATAACTAAACGATAAATAATTAAAGTTAGTAGCTTACAATTTACAGTAATGTGAAGAAAAAACTGTTCAAGTTATGCACGTTTGTATTGGAAAAATCAAATAAAGACGGTCGATTATGGGGACATAATGGATTCTTGAGGTTTCTTCCAGGATCGTAGAATTTCGGGTAATGCAAGGGGCTGATCTCGGATCGAAAACTGCGTCGGACGGAGCGTGACTTGTCGCTCAGTACAGCGTCGAATTTATGGATCCTGTCCCTGCCGGTGAGATTTATGGGAAACCAATGCCTTAATTGGAAAATTATAGGACTATGTCTGGGAACCGACCGTTCGGCCCATAGCTCGTTATTCAACGCGTATAATCTGCCCCTCACCGGTAGCCGACTTTCAGAACCGCGCCTCGATATTTTCCGTCTCGATAAGAGAGGCCGACACCAAACGACCAAACTAACACGACCACCGCTCGTCACATCTTCCCAGCAGACAAACCTTTTACGAAATTTTTCTCAGCAGCCGAAATTAAAGCATGATAGATCACCGAAAGGTGACTTAACCGCTTGAAGCTCACGACCGTATCTCACGCGTGCACAACTAATCGTACAATAAGTGTAATTTTCTTTAATTATTTCCTTGCATTTTCGTTGTAGCAAAAATATGAGTTGCAGAGTTATAAATAACGGGAAACTTACTTTTATACGCCTAGGAAATAATTAAACAAAAAATAGAATTAGAGCTGTACCCCGAGAAACGAATTACATTCGTCTGTATTGAACGTATAACTTATAATTACGAAGTGAAATAAAGTAAAGTGTGGAATAAAAAATTTCAGAATCTCACAGAATTTCTAACAATTTTATATAAGAAATGTGTGATAATTTTATTGCAGTTGGAACAGATGTAATTTTACGGGATAACAGAGTCGAACAGAATGACTAAATTGAGTAGAACAATTGGGTACTTGAAATTTGCATTCGCTTACCTAATGAGGTGGCGGCACACAAAACGTGTAGCTGGTGAACCAAAATGGAGGCCACCACGGCCGAAAGACGACTCAACATCGTAGCCAATTCTCAACTCATTTCTGTATCGAAAATTGTGACTCGGCACCTATGGTCTCCTTGTCTGAAATTTCAAAGAAACGATATTCAACGTTAATTTCCAAAATTCATAAAAATATACGTAAATGTGTAATCTTTCGAGCAAGGAAATTGTGTACAAATATATTAAAATGGACGCAGTAACAAATATCTCATAAATTCTAATTATTAGCAGTAACCTAATTTTTATTTCATATTAATTACATTAAATCATGTACACTATAGTTCATGAGTATTAGGACACCCATTGTGTTCCTACAATTATATTTCCACGCAAAAATTACTATCTAACATCGGTAAAAATATACAAAATGTTCGCACTATTAGTTTCCAACGTTTTTCTCCCAAGTGATACACTTTTATTTACAAACAGACAAGAATTTTTTATCTCAGACATTTAGATCCTTGGCAGAAGAGGTTCCCCAATAACTTCCCCATTGTGCAACATTTTTACTTTCCAAAAATCGCAGCGAAAAGCTGAAAGTTACGTTTGCATCCTCCAAAAAAATTGAAACTTTTCATTCAGTAGTTACCTACTCGAAAAATTCCCAAACTTTTCCTTTTTTCAGACACTTTGCGGTGGTGCGCCCCTTTAAAATAACTTTGCAACGTCAGTCTCCAAGTGAAAATATTGCAAAAAATTTCTGGAAACGCAACGAGCAACTACGTCAACAAATTGACGTACGCAATTGAATTTTATCTCGCGATAATTAAAGATAAAGCACGCGACAAGGTGGATGCGGCCGTTAATTATACTCGGCTCCTCCGCTGCACAATGTCAAACGATCCCGGCAAGCCTACCGAAATCCCCCTGGACTTCGAAATAACACCTCCGGTTGCCTGGGGCTGACCCAATCGGGTTCACGAGACACAAAGCCTCCCTAGGCAGAGATCAATGCGTTACTCGGTCGATCTATGTATGTATGCGTCCCAGAAAAAGAATCGACCCTTTTCGAGGCAGATTAACAGTTTTACACACCGAGAACCGCCACTCTCGCGTGTCCCACTTCTTCGCCAATATCATCTTAATGAATTGCTAACGACCCCGTTCTTTTTACAAAAATTTCCGAAGAGATCTACGGATGCGAGAGAAAATAGCGAATCCTATATTGACAGAGTGTCGAATTAAAGATTAATGAAAATTTTTCAGTTCGGTTGAAACGTCTAATATAGGAATTCCTGAAAAATTTCGACGAATCAACGAGAGACTTTTTAAATGTTTAAGTATACTTTTTAGACGTTACACGGTAGATTCTGTGTAATACGATGGAAAAATTGAGTCGGTGCTCGTGTAACATTGTACGTAAGTTCACATTTTCACGGTGTAGGAAAGTTCTGGTAATAGATAGTGCATTATATTGTATGGTAATTGTTCTATGGTGTTCTTAGGCAAAGCTCATCGTTGCAGTAATAGGAGCAGCGCCCTTCTGGCGAAACTATTGGAAGATTTAAAATTATACAATACATGTACGTGAATAAAATGCCAGTGACTTGTGTCAGTAACTGCTTCCTTCGTAATGACAAAACATTTTTAATTTTAACATTTGCTTACTTTGAAGTGACATAAAAAGTAACCTTACTGTTACACCTTAAATCTTCATTTTACATTTTCTATAAAAAATGCCCTGGTATCTTTTATAAATATGCGTTTCCAAATGCACATATAAACCATATTTGTGTAACCTATGTCACTCGTTTAATACGAAACGTATCCTCGTGTTATAAGAGGGCCTACTTTATTTCTCGACACTAGACTTCATTCTTACTGCATATACTACATGGGTGATCAAATTATTAGAGCCACGATACGAAAAGTATATTTTCTGTGCTTGTGCAGTAATAAAATCACAATATCAAAATTTGCACACTAGATAATTTTTAATTAACGATTGTTCACTAAAGATACAAGATCTATAAACCAACAAAACTAACACGTGGCTCTCAAGTGGCGATTTTCAGTACTGATACAAAATTTAAAAAAAGTGTTGCCAAGTGTGTAGTTGCAATTTGTAAAAATCAACGCTTCGTAAAAATAAAAAATAGTAAGAATTCGGTATAACTAGGTTTTCATCTGAAAATTAATCGTTACAATGTAAAACCGTCAATTTCTTACAGGTGGCTCTAATAATTTGATCACCCACTGTAAATCTACACCCACTCGTATCACCCAAACGACGAAGAAGAAACATTACGTTCACATCCACAGATACTGTATCTCTTATTCGACAATTACTTCGATCGAACCTCGCAAATATCGTACGTGTATTCTTACATCGTGAAAACCTCCCTAAACGACACCAAGTGTAGTTCAAATTCAACACTCGATGACACAATAGTTTGTGAGTAAAGCACGAAATTACCACTACGAAATACGGAATAAACAATTGGAAGCTGAGCGAAAGCTATCGAGAAACGTTTTAAAAGCATCCCGGAGGACCAATTTACCCGGTCGTTTCTAAAGAATTCGCGGCAAGAACGGTGCTCGTCAGCCAGACAAAGCGAGTTCCCGGCGAGTCAATCGCTTTGCACGACGTATGTAGACTCAAAGGCCACGGTAAATCAGACGGTCGGTCGAAGTCAAATAGAAGATTGTTACCACGAAATTCCACGTGATTCAATTTGACCGGAAGTTCGACCGAAAACACGCTTCACCCTCAAGTTCCCCGTGCCGCCCTAACGAATCTATCGGCAACTCTTCAACTCCCCGCCAACTATTCCCCCCCACCTCACCGTTTCAACCCCCTCGTCAGGTTGTCACCCATCGTTCGAGCTAACGTCCAATTCCGGACGCTTAAGAGGAATCTTTTGTACACCTGTGAGTCAACTAGCAAAAAGGGTACAAACAACTTCTCCCGTCCTATACTAACAGTTGTCGTATCTCCAACGCGAAACCTCCAAATTGTTTGTCCCACGCAGATGTTGCTCGCGTGACACGAATGGCAGTTGCGTAAATGAAAAAGTTTCACGCTTGCGTCTAACGAAATTCGGCACGATTTTGAAGGAGGCACAGCGAAGATCGAAAGAAGACAGGTGATTAAAGTAGGGAATGTTTCGTATTTTTCGTGACGTTTCGATGGTTCGTCGTTCTCTATTTCGATGGTTCGCTAAATTTCAGGAAAATGGAGTTACAAAAAAAAAAGAAAGAAAAGAAAGGACAACCTATAAAGTGGATCTTCGTTTAAGGTTCCAGCATTCGGCAACAATTGGATACTCTCCCCGAGATTGAATCCATTTATTAAGCGAAATGTACGTCCAATTCCCGTAAAACTTACGCAAGAACACAACTGTGCTGTGCCGTAAACGCTGTAAACAGGATATCGGCATTTCCTAGCGAATGTTTGAACGTCGAAGACAGTCGAGTAATTTTCTGAGAATGTGAAACGCCTTGCAAGATAGATAATATATCTCACTTGAATGTTCGAACAAAAATTGATCTCAATTTAGCATCCACTGCAAGCACAATGTTCGATAAGTAAATAACGAATTCTTCAAAAAAAAACTAATTCGCTCGCCAAAGGGTTAATTAAACGGCCATTTCATTTCACTTTAAAAGAATCTACAAGAAGCTTCATTTTGACGTGGTAAAGAAATTACACTGCTACTACTGCTAAAAAAGAAACAGTGCAATATCACTTTGCAGGTAAATTGCGAAGAACGAGAACTATCGAAAAAAGCATACTTTTTATCAGAGAGAGAGAGAGAATACATTTGCCGGCAAACGACTCGCTACAATTAGAACAGACTATACTCAGTCGCTAAAATACACCCTATACAGTAATAAGTGCTGCAATGAATTTTTTCTAATTCTCCTCCCTCTCCGCTGGTCGCATTCTTGCTTCGCATTAACGTGTCGAGGAAGGCGTAACGTTGGCGCAACAGTGGAAATTACGCAAGTGCGTTATTGCACAACGGCATGTAACGGGTGTGCGGAAAATGTAGTGTGAAAAAACGGGTTACAAGTGAACGAACTCGATGGTACCGCACTACGAACTGTCCTCTCACGGTGGATTACACGGCCGCTTTCGGTGTAACTTCCGGATGGCGAACGGGGGAAACAAGATCGCGCGAGGGTAATACGAGAACGTGCCACGTTAATCTGCGAGCTAACAAAGAACGGCATTCGTTTTCATTACGAGCACGCGACGAAGCATTTTTAATCTGCGCGAATTAATCATTCGATAAGATTACGGCGAAGGGAGTGCGTGTAACGTTAGCATAACGGGGAATCTAGGTGTACAGTCGATGGAAGCGATACAGAGAGGTCGTGAAATCGGTCAGACGTCGGAGTTTACACTTTAGAGCGTATCGTTAAGCGAATCGACGGAAATCTCGGATGATAATGTAGGGATGACCGAGCGTGAGTGCGTGTCTGTATGAATGCGTTGTCTGTGTGAATGCGTGAGGGTCTATGGCGTGAGCGGTAAGGACCGGCGTGCCAGGTCGAGTGTTTGGGATAGCGCGAACGATATTGAACGAATGTTTAGTTTTAGTAATCAGGCGAGGAGTGCGTGTGTGTTTTCTTCTATGGAAAAGTGTGCATGTATGCAAGACGACATTAGGGCGAATGCGAGGGAGCGAAAGGCAGTGTGAATCCAGCGATTGATTGAGCGACATCCCTAGCGTAGCGATATAAACTATTAATAAATATATTATAGTCAAAAGTCCGTTCGAGTTCACTATCCCTCCACACAAAAATCCCCTACAATAAGAAACTTCAGACAGGATGGAAAATGGACAAATGCCGCATTTGACTCTGGGTAATTTACGACCTACGCTAGGAGTTTCTTGTTTTTTGCTGTATCTTTTGCGTGTGTGCGATAATTAAATTTTTAGAAAATTTGAAAAAATAGATTGTTAGTATAATTTGTAGTAACATACGTTTGATTGAAATGATTTCCATTCGATTGTATACACTTTCCCCAATGATTAAGCAGTTCCGTTATTTCGTTAGTTTTTGAATG